GGTTTTAAATTTGGAGGAAGAGAAAAGGAAAAACAGATTGATCCAAGCTATGAAATTTCAGTCAACAAAATATACCTCTTAAAGTTTTTAGCCTTATTTATCCTTAACTTAATTTCTACCTGGTATAAAACTCCATATGGTCCAGAGAAATTAATCACCTACCTTCACATTAGGGCCATCTCCAAAGAGCTACCTGCTCCCAGTCCTAAGTGTGTAACATTTATCTGGAAAAAACAGGCTCTGCAGAAGAAATTAAACACATGGATCAGAGCCTACCCTAGTTATTACCAGAGCACTTTTCACAGAAAGCAAATACAGGTTGCCTGAGAAGTTCTAGCAGACAAAAGTACAGCTCAAACTCTGCAGGCACGTAGCTGTGTGTCAGACAAAGGGAGGTTATCGTCAGTTCTCGCATCTGACGGCACTTCCTACTCGGGTTATCATCATCAACAGCTGCTCTGCTTGATTACTGCAAACACAGTAATTGTATCATCTTGAACCCACGGTTTTACATCTTCCACTTGGCTTATAAAAAGGCTCCATTAACTTAGTGACACATAAAGCAAAATGTAATTAGCTTTTACTTAATCTAAGATGCAATCGTTACAAGTTACTTTCAATCAACTTCTCTTTATTTAACTGCTTTACACCATCAGAAAGTAATTAAAAAACTTAAAACTTCCTTAACTTTTACGCACCTTAGTACAAAATAAACATTAACTTTCTCTTTACTTCAAGACATCTTTCAGCTGTGGGAACAAAAATAAAACAAGTATTACTAAAATACTCTGCAGCAGTGATTTTATAGAGTTATAAAGTAGGTTTATCCAGGAGAGAAAAAAGGCAACAAGAATAAACAACCCACCAACACCAGTATCTCACCACCAACAGTCTGTTTGCAATTCCAGTCATGCTTGTGTTGATATCATGAATCAATAAGGTGTTGGTATGTTATTATAGTGATCAACAACCCTCTCTGTACTGCTTTTAGTTGGGAAACTCAAGAAACTTCCCGTATGCAACTCACCACACTGCACATACTGCAGGGCAAATTTTAAGCTTAAATTCCACACATCACCAATTTCAAGGGCGTAACGTTCATGGCACAGAAAGGGTCTGGACCATCGAACTAAAAAAGTGACCCGTTTTCTAACAATATGACGACAAAACCCCTCAGAAGGCATACAAGTACCAAGCACCAACCACAAAGGCGTTACCTCCAGATTTTCTAAGAGAGCCGAGCTCAGAGCTCTGCCCCAACAGCTCGTGAGCAGAAGGGACCAGCCTGAAAGCAGCCACGAGGCTGCTGAGGAAACAACGGCGTGTGAAGCACCTTTACCCCCCTCCCCCCCCCCTCCCCGGCCTC